ATGTAAGGTAAGGTATACAGGCGTATAGACTAAAAAATAAAAGACGTAACTCAGATTCACAAATTGTTTGCCACCATAAAATTGTGTTTGAAGATAAGAAAACTGATTTCAATTAAATGATAGGAATTGGAGTTGGGCTGGGTGATAGAGAGAACTTTCGCAAAGCTATTTATTTTAGAAATGAAAGAAGCAATTAAATTAGAATCAAGCAAAAAGCAAAAATAAAAAAAAAAAAATTGAAAAAAGAAAAAACAAAAACAAAACAAAAAACTACAAAAGAATGCAGCAAAAGCATTCAGCTTTTTATCAACTTATTCTAAAGCTTAAAAAAAAAAAAAAACAAAAACGTTTAGCCTAATAACTGTGAGAAATGCGAAAATAAACATATTATAAAGCTAGATAAATTTAGAGAGAAAAAAATTGAATTAATTCAAAACAATGATTCAAATATTTTATAAAGATAAATTGCTTCTGAGTCTTACGAAGAGCAAAGAATTTAGAAAAACTTAAATGCATTAATAAATTTATAGATTTAATGAATGAGTCTATATGACTCATTTATAATGTCTGGCCAGCCTAATCAAACATTCTCTAAAGAAATGATTAAGTGTTTGTAAACACATTCGCATGTCTTGCCTTCCGTGTAGAATGCGACAATAAATAAATGTAAATAAATAAATTACCTTCACTTGACTGTCAATCAAAGCCGCTTTCCATCAATTAATGTGCGTTGCGTGAGTCTCTCTCTCTCTCTCTCTCTCTCTCTCACTCACTCTCTCCCACTACTTGTATTTTGGAAAAACCTCAAGCGAACGGCTCCTGCTGTGATGGCTTTATTGGCACTCGGACTGCTCACGAATATCATGAATTCCGTAAATAATTCCAGCGGCAAACGCAGCAAACTCTGAGGCTTATTTTGCACTTACATTATTCACGTATTTGTTTAATTTTAGTAATTTCTTTTTAATCGCAATTGACGTTGTATGTAAATTTATTCTCTTTTTTTCTTTTTTCATTTTTTGTTTTGTTTTCTTTCGTTTGAGATCAAAGACATGTTTTTGGAAGCTGAGCAGCCGCGAGTACAAAAAAATATGTAAAAATATTTTGTTGGGAATTTACGCCCGACAGCCGAACAGAAAAATAAAAAACAACAACAATGCAGAAAAACAAACAAGTATTTGCGCTTTCAAATCTTCTTCTTTCTGTCTTTTTTTTTTCATTTAGCAATAATAAAATTTCAATTATTTGAAGAGAATTTGAACATTTGATGGCGGACCCCATAGACGTCTGGCTAGAACTATTTGCTCAGCTCAACTCGGCTCAGCTCGGCTGCGTGCAGTGCCAAAGCCTCAAAGCAACGTGCCTCAAATCTCGACCACAACATTACATCAACTTGCCAGACGCATCAACGCCCAGCTGCAAGTTGGCCTGCGGTGCGCCTCGGTCTGCACCTAAAGCTCAGCCAAAACCTCAATACAAACCTCGAGTCAGAAAAGGAGAGAAAGAGAGAGAGAGAGAGTGTGTGTGTGTGTCCGTCTACACGCACATCATTATCCATTCAATGACGGTGGCCAGAGTAAATGCAAATCGAATTAGATTTAATATGCATTTTAACCACAACAAACTGTGCATATAATGTGTGCTCCTGCTCCTCCTGCTACTGCTCCTGCTCCTAACAGCTCGGCTCTGATTAAATCACAGCAACTAAAGATAAGGAGCCAAGTGTCTTAGGCCGTAAACCTCAAAGTTTTCATTGAATTGCATTTAAATTTCTAAGCCTTTGAAATGCATTTAATAGTTTAATTTAATTTGAAATCAACTATTTAGCTTAATAACTATGACTTATTAGAATAAGCTATTAAGTTGGCTCAATATAAATTAATAATTTAAGCTCTTTGGCTTTGATGCCTGTGGCTAAGTTAAAATTAAGGGCTTTGGCTAAGGAAATAACTCCCATAGTTATATGCATATATAGAAGATATACAGAAGAATAAAAATGGGATCTTAAGATAAATGTAAAATTTAATTTAAATGTTTAATAGTCATATAATAATATTTAATAAATAGATATTAATGGTTGGGTATATATAAATACCTACAGTTCACTTTATGAAGAATTAAAACGATAGAATACAAATTAAAAATGGTATATATTAGTATATAAATATTATAATTGCGAAATAGACATGGTTTGACGATTTATCGAAATATTCATTGAACGACTCTCAAACCATATTTTGAACTTAAGGGAATTTCATATTATACGACTTTAGGGTATTCAACTTGAGGGGACCACAATGTGTGGATATTTTACGAATTAATGAGTTTACTTCAAATGGGGACAGCAGTATTTATGAATTATTGAGATTCTCAACTTAGCGGGAGACAACTTGTCGTGACTCGTTTGTAGAGCCTTATATTATATAAATGCAATTCAGCTTTCATTAAACACTTCAGTTCAAAGTGGAATTTTAAATACATATCCATATGCTACAGAGCTCAGAGCAGCGCATCAGAAAATTAACCACAAAAAAAAATGCTGATTGCAGCGAATTTATCCGAGCTCAAGGAAAACTGCCCCGGAATTAATGAAGTAAATGCTCGACCTCAGAACGAATGCGATTTATGAAGCATCAATTGGCTGGCTGGGGCACTTTTCTGCTGCTCTTGCATCAGCTTGCTGACCCAATTAACAGCATCTTTCATTGACAATTTAAAGCTCTTGCCATTACAAAGAACACTTGCAGCACCAACACACACACACGCACACGCACACGCACACTCACACATACATATACAGTGAAAGGCAATGCATAATATGGGTCATTAGCTCTGAGTGTGTTGCACGTGCAGCACTTGCCACGCCCACTTAATTGCCATTAATTACATTTATTTCATCGATGACTTACTCGAGCTGCCAGCCGCCAAGAGGTGAGGCAACAACAACAACAACAACAACAACAACAACAACAAGAACAACAAGAAATGCTCGCTTCATTGAAGCATAATTAACTGCAAGTTTTCACAGCGACTTGCAACATTCGGTTGCACGTTGCAAGTGCAGCTGACAGCCGGAACAGCAGCAGCAGCAGTTGAAAAACAAAACCAGTCGTAATATAAACCAAATTCGATAATAATATAGACCGGACAGCTAATCGGATAATGATTAAGCACATGCATAATGTCTTAGTGTGTGTGTGTGTGTGTGCGTGTGTATTTGTGAGACCGCCCGTTGACAGCGTGAAATCAGCACGTGTATTGAGTCAAAGGCGAACGCGTACATGCCTCATTAATCACATATCCAATTACGAGTACATTATTCCAATTCCATACTTACGCGCGCGCATAAGACAGCTGCAGGGAAGGCGGCGTGGGAGTGGCAAGTGTGAGGGTGGGGCGGCTGTGGGCTGTGGGCTGCGGGATGTAGTATACCCCTTTCTACTTTGAGGCGGGTTTGTTCATTAGAGACAGCGCGCCTTTAAGGCCATGCGATTTCACTGTTTACCCGCGCGCTAATTGTAAATGGCAATCAGGGCGGCGCCC